TTATAAATAGACTAGATCTCTCAGGTTGTTGAGAGAGAGATATCATTTTTTGGTTGTTGATATTCACTTGTAATCTTTGAACATAATAGAGAAACTGAATAGTAAAATAGTTATAACCAATTATGATTCTTCTTCTTCCTTCAACTCACTCTCTCTCTCTCTCTCTCTCACACACACACACACGCGCACACACACACTCTCTCTCTCTCTCTCTCTCTCTCTCTCTCTCTCTCTCTCTCTCTCTCTCTCTCTCTCTCTCTCTCTCTCTCTCTCTAAACCTAATAAGGTTTCTTGTGTTTGTTCAAGAAATTCAATCTTCTCTCATATTTTGATTTATTCTTGACGACATCGATTAACAACAATAGTCGATATCTCTACCATTAGAACATATATTCAATTGATATTACACTAACTTTTATTAATATTTCATTACCAAAATTAATTTAACACCGACTATTTAATTTTCTTCCGTGTATTGAATAAATATACTTAATCATCTTATTTTTTATTAAACTATTATTTAAAATATTTTATTATACAAAAAATACTGATGGATTTTTGTAACAATATTAAAAGATTATGATTATCATTTTCTTCAACCGTACGATAATAATAAAAAAAATAACACTTATTTTACTCTTAACGTTAAAGATCCTTACTAAAAAAAATAACATACAAATGAAAACAAGTTTTATAAACCTAATTTATTCAGATCTGATAACAAAATTGGATTCAAATTTGATATTAACTCAACAAATAAGAAGTGTCAAGAAGTGTCATGTTTACGACATTCTTCCATGTTCTGATAAATATGTTTTTATTTAAATTCTGATTTCCATGTTAATTTCATTCCACTGTGCCGTTTGTGATGAAAGGAACTTGTATTTCTCTTCTCAAAATCTGCAAATCATTGCGGCAGCTCAAGCAGATTCACTCTCTCATATTCTCCAATGGTCTCCAACAAGACAGAGACACCCTCAACAAGCTCATGGCTGTTTCCATTCAACACTTTCACTATGCACTTTCAATCTTCAATCACACCCAACACCCATCTTTGTTCACCTACAATCTCCTCATCAAAGCCTTCGTCAAAAGGGGCTGTCTCACCACATCCCTTTCTCTTTTCCACCAACTAAGACAACACGGATTGTGGCCTGATAATTACACCTACCCTTATGTTTTAAAGGCCATTGGGTGCATGGGAGATTCTGCTCAAGGAGAAAAGCTTCATGCTTTTGTCATCAAGACTGGTCTTGAGTTTGATGCTTATGTTTGTAATTCGTTGATGGAAATGTATGCTCAATTGGGTCGTCTTTGTTGTGTCAAACAACTGTTTGAGGAAATGCCTCACAGAGATAATGTCTCTTGGAACATCATGATTTCAGGCTGTGTTAGGTGTATGAGATTCCAGGAGGCTGTTGAAGTTTTTCAGCGGATGCGAATGGAAAGCAATGAGAAGCCTAGTGAAGCTACTGTTGTGAGCACTCTAACTGCGTGTGCTGCGTTGAGGAATGTGGAGGTTGGCAAGGAGATTCATAGTTATATTGAAAAGGAATTGGATTTTACAATCATAATGGGGAATGCATTGTTGGACATGTATTGTAAGTGTGGATATGTGAGTGTGGCTCGTGAGATTTTTGATGGGATGGCCGAGAAGAATGTGAATTGTTGGACAAGTATGGTAACTGGGTATGTGAATTGCGGTCAGTTGGATCAAGCTAGAGATTTGTTTGACAAGAGTCCAATAAGGGATGTTGTTCTTTGGACGGCTATGATAAATGGGTATGTTCAGTTTAATTGTTTTGATGAGGCAGTTGCATTATTTGGGGAGATGCAAGTCAGAGGAGTGAAGCCTGACAAGTTCATTGTAGTTGCACTCCTTACATGTTGTGCTCAGTTGGGAACTCTAGAGCATGGCAGATGGATTCACGATTATGTACATGAAAACCGAATCATGGTGGATGCTGTGGTTGGTACTTCCCTTATTGAAATGTATGCTAAATGTGGTTGCGTAGAGAAATCTTTGGAGGTTTTTAATGGATTAAAAGAAAAGGATACTGCCTCATGGACTTCGATTATTTGTGGACTAGCCATGAATGGTAAGACAAACAAAGCACTGGAGTTGTTTGAAGCGATGAATACATTTGGGGCAAAACCTGATGATGTTACGTTTATTGTTCTTTTGAATGCGTGTAGTCATGCAGGATTGGTAGAAGAAGGCCGCAAGTTATTTCATTCCATGTCATGTATATATGGTATTGAGCCAAATTTAGAACACTATGGCTGTTTCATTGATCTTCTTGGTCGAGCTGGACAGTTACATGAGGCGGAGGAGTTGATAAGGAAGTTGCCAGACCAAAAAAATGAGATAATAGCTGCAATTTATGGGTCTTTGCTAAGTGCCTGCAGAACTTATGGTAATATTGATATGGGTGAAAGGCTTGCTATAACACTGGCAAAAGTGAAATCCAGTGATTCAAGTCTTCATTCACTCCTTGCTAGCATTTATGCTTCTGCTGACAGATGGGAAGATGCAAGTAAGACAAGACGTAAGATGAAAATTTTGGATATAAAAAAGGTGCCAGGATGTAGTGCCATTGAGGTGGATAGCACCGGCAACAGAGGAGGAGTTGGCAACCTTTCCCATTTCCAAACCAAAATTGGCCTGCCTACACAGGATAATCAGCAATTTAAAATTTGATTTATTGAGTTTTTGACTGGGGAACCTATTAAGACAGTTTCACATTGGCTATTTTATTTGGGCCATAAAACTTCAGAACCATATAAATTTGTCGGCAACCCTTGAATGAGGGGAAGTTGGATGAGTGGAGGTTAACTCAAATGTTGCCTAATGTCCCACTTCTTCAAGAATTTGACTTTATAGACGAAAGTACTCATGAGCGAGACATACAAGTTATTGTGCTGGTGCTAGTGGTGCACAGCTGACTTTCTGGGTAAGTTCCCTTCAGTTGTACTTTATATTAATTTCCTTAATGACCAATTTTCTCATAAACATCAGTTATTAATTAGTTTTGCAAATCTCGGGTATAGCTGCTGCTCTTATTCTCTTGCCTGTTTTTGGTGTTCCTGTGCGTGGTTCTTCTGTCGACGGACTGATTCAGTCTTGTCAATTGTTCAGGTATATTTTTCAATAACATTTAAATACTCAATGTTTAATTTTTTTTACTCTAAATGATTATTTTTGATGTTTTAGATTGCATTTCTAATGATGAGATAATCATGTAATATGCCTGTAATTCTAGTACTATTGTTTTTTCTTTAAAAAGTTTAAGATCAATATAAGAATCCTTAAAATTGAAGAGTTTTGTCCATGCTGCTAGCTAGTTAGCGAAAGGACTAAGAATGAATTTTGTACTATTTCTGTTTCTAAAAGCCATGTGTGTGCGCCATTTTAAAAGTCTTGGGCAGTATCTAGAACTTGTCATGACTAAGGAGTTAATATTTTGTCAGATCTTGTATGTCAATGGAGGATTCCTTTTGTGAATGACTAAAAACTGAATCAAACTTTATTGTTTATTGTTGAGTTTGGCAACCACTTTAAGCAATTGGGAGGAAATTCTGGTAACCAGTTAGCATATCCATTTGTAGGCAAATTTCCAATCACTATACTCTTATTAGACGCCGAAATTGCTCATTTCCCAATATTTTCTTACTTTTCTGTTAGCCCTCTTATCTTACCCTTTCAGTGTTTTTCTGTCATTGGTGCTATCCTCATTGTATATGAGCTACAGTTGGTTTTTGTCACTCTTCAAAATTGCCCTTGTTTTCTCATGCTTTATGTAATATTGAGTGAGTGATTACATGACACGAATGAACCACAAAAGAAAAAATTGTCAGAGACGAAAATATCCTATTAGACTACTAATTTCTACTGCCGGAATAGGAGTTCACTTCGACAATGACCTTTCACAATTATTTAAAGTCCTTTCGTATACGAATATAACTGTTGGGTGTGCAGATGCCAATGTGTCCCTGTTTCGAGAAACCTCTAAGGCGAGTAGGGACTAAAATAAGGGAATTAAGGATTCATATTTCAACACATCTACGATTTATTATGCATCCACATGCAATATTAATCATTAATTTATTCATCAATGATTGATATTATTTACTTTAGAAAAGGGATTTTTGCCTTTTAGACCTTGCAACGTTTTCTCTTATTGACCGGTGATGTTTTCACAATGACCCATTTTAGTCTCTACCGTAAATCTTCATTTATCTGGTGCTAACATGAAATGCATGTCATTGTTGCCACATTAGATTAATACTGAACCATGGACTCCAACTCATCTTCATCCTCTTTCTCATCCCGCAACATCATAATAGGATATTGATGGCAGATATGTAAATAATAACTATATCTGCAAATATCTGTGGATAAATCCAGAATGAGTTGGATACCTTACCTTAATGGGTAACTGCGGATAATATAAATGAATATTTTCTCTACCCACTTATTAACACGTCAGAACTCAGAAGTGAATATTAAGGTATCTATACTCATGGACCCTGCTTTGCAAAATTAATAAAATCTTCGTCAATGTGGTAGCTAATTACTATTTTACGGATGCCTTTGTAGTGCACGAATTCAATTAGCTTAGGTTGTTTTTCTGTTGTTGATAAAACTGCCACTCTCAAATATGGTGACCAATCAGTTCACACTCTTCCAACACGTATATAAATTCCATTGGGACGGATTATAGAGTAAAAGTCCAAGATCTTAAAATGCATATGGAACTGAAAATATAACTGCCATTTTGAACTAAAAATGACTAAATAACAAAATAAATGTCTTAAACGAATATTCTTAAAGTTACATTACATATGAGATTCTTGTAGAAAGACTTATTGTAAAAATAACCACATTTACATATTTTAAGAAATGCAGGAAAATGTAAAATTCATAAAAATAGTAATCAAACTGTAGTTTCATAACTTGTGTACAACCGATTAGCACTTGGGTAGCGAGTAGTCACTATTCAAGCTGCAGTATTTGGAGCTTTGGCAAACAAGACTCGGCGGCGATACTCTCCAAGAGCCCATATAGGAAAGATGTTTCGATATGATGAGTAGTTTAGGGTACAATTTCTCATAAATACTCCTGTTATCTCCTGTATAGTTGCATGTTTTTATTTGTTGTCGCTAATTAATAAAAATACAGTACATAAATTGACGAGACGTCAGAAGTGATAAACTAATTACCTGCTGTGGGAAGTCTCCATCTTCCATTTGTGAATTGATTATTAACTTCATTCCATGGTGTATGGGTGTTGGATCTATCTCAGCCTTTTTGTAACAAAAACATTCATCCAGATTTAGAAAAGCATATTAGTTCCTAATTATTAGGAGGCAAGAACTAAGCTAGCTTTATTATTTACTACTAACCTGCCCTGCACCGATAAGGGACAACAAAGCCCACGAAGTTTGAACTAAATTTGCATGGTTGTCTTCTATGTTTGTATATACCTATTTAATTTAACAAGGAAAAACAAGTGAGCTTTTCTCATACATTGGAGTTCAAAGTAAAATCAACTTATAATATATATATATATATATATATACCTTGTTTTGACTTGACAAGTAACTTTCTCCCCACCCCCCATTAGGAAGTTGCTTTGACAACAAAAATTGACAAGCTTTTCGCAAGGAAGGACTATTACGGTAATTCTTTCCACAAGCTGTTAGTCCCTCTACAGCAAACCAGGTACCATATGTATAGCAAATTCCCCAACACCCATACCTGTGTTTCATTAAAAGTACTAATTATATCTATCTATCTACCTATAGTGATTTATGAACCATACGTAGCTGCAACTTGTCAGTTAAGTTTAAAGAAAATCTGTCATGTTTAACACCCTAAAGTATTAGGCGGTGCATTATCAGAGAGAATAGAAGATAAAATACCAGGAGCCATCAGGATTTTGTGTGTTTTCAATATAATGAATTGCTTTGGCAAGGCAGTGATGTATTTCCTTTGTTCTATGATACGGGTGTAGCTTTGTGAAGAGTACCAGAGCTTGCATTGCAGAACCAGTGCACTCAACATACCTATTATTTTCACAACAAGGAACACGTATATGAAGTAAGTGAGAAATTTATATATGCATCGACAATGTTTATGATTGATGTTGCTATATGTCTTACTCCCTCTCAATCAGCGTGTCTTCAAAGAATTCAGTTGGATTGAATTTCTGCAGCAGACATTCATGCATATAATTAGTTGTTATCATTCTTATAAGTTTTTCTTTTATATATAAATTTGTTTGATGAATAAGAGTAACTTCATAACATACCTCTAGCCAACTGTAAGCATTTTGAGGCTCCCAAGCAGGGAACCCGCCATTACTGCTCTGTAGAGAGAGGATGACATTAACAGCATCATTGAATCGCTCTGTTTCCAATTTTTCTCCAACGAGATCACTTGGCATTTTTGACAGTAACAGTGCGGCCTGCATGTTTGTGTGTATGTTGTCATGATTATCACTTAGGCATGCATGTATATTTTGAAAAACCAATAAAATAATTAATAGAACCTTGAGTCCTTCTGCTGTGCAGTCTGAGACCTGCCAGCCTTGGTCATGCATTGAGAATGTCCACGAGCCTTTGCATATGTGTCTGTACATTGCTTCAAACTCACCGGATGGATTTTCAACTACCTGCGAGGCCTTCAGGAAATCATGTGCTTTCCGAAGCGTAGGACCATACTCTTCACTCACGTTACAAGCAAGTATTGCTTGTATAGAAAATGCTGCATCCCACATTTGACATCCAAAACTCTGCATCCATTATTATTTATACATTTATTTAACAACTGTTAAAGTGCTGGCTCAACTACATACTATGAAGTGTTGCATGCCTTAGTTGGTTAAGTAATAAATTATACTAACCTGGATTTTCAGGCCATCTTCTGCGAGCCAGAAGTAATCCGGGATTCGGGCTAAATGAAGTTTGTATGCCTCTGAGTTCGGGTCTTCAACCCAACGTGCTATCAAACATAATACTTTCTCTACACTTCCAATGCAAAGGTATCTACTGTTCTCATCCTCGTAACGCACATGATTAATTGCGATTTCTAATGCCTTCTGTCTAAGCTTGGAAAATGGCCAGCAGTTCAGAATAGGCTCTCCCACGTGATAAAGAAATCCCCATAATATATCTTGAATCATAGGATGTGGGTAGTACAGATCCTCCTGGAATTGCATGCTATTGTCAGTTTCATATTTATATTTGCATGTTTAATGCATCAAATCAAATACTATATATAGATTTGTTCCACACTCGTACAAACCTTAGCAATAGTGTTCCGGGCTTTGTTCCAGTTAATTTTATCATAAGGCTGGTTGTACATCTCTTCTCTTAGTGATCTTATTAGGTCAGTGATAGGGCCCACAAATTTCTTCCCATATAAATATGACATGGGCATGTAAACTAACCGACAGTAACAAAGCATTTTCCCTGCATGCATATTTAAATTGACCAAGGAATTAGGCAAGATACTGATTGCATAAAAAAAAAAGGATTAACCAACTCAGACGCGCACCTGGATGAATAGGGGTGAATTTTGGTAGAAACCAGAACTCTGGTGGAAGTGGATTGCAGCCTTGCCACTCATAAACTCCAAGGACCTATATATAGTATGATTTGATTGCTTATTTGTATGCAAACTTGTCTAGAATAGGGTGAACTACTATAATTATGATTAGCTTACCGTGACCCAAAACTTTCCCCATGATGGAATAGCCACTAAACCACCATGATCAAGGATCCATTTTCTGCATCTGTCCATTGCCCTGTCTTCGCCATCTTCAGGTCCTTCTCCAAGTAACCTCAACGCAATATAGCTTAATGCAGATCCAAACATTGTGCTGTGTCCCTCTATATGGAATCCCCATCCACCATCTTCGTTCTGTCAAACCATCACATATCGCCAACCATACAATTCACATATAAGTTATTACTGCATAATAAAATGGAGACTATTGTTTTTTCTTTAACATGTGTGCAATGATGACAATAAAGATTGAATCTTTCACCTTTATAGACTATCGAAACCTCTCACTGTTAGCTTAGTTCTTGATTGAATCTTTCACATCTATGGACTATCCAATTCTCTCACTATTAGCTTAGCTCTAAACTTAAATGGATTATAGGATACATTGGAAGAAACACATTTGTAGTTTTGCATTTTCTTTCATTTGTTTTGTTTACGAGGTTTATCTTTTTCTATTTCAGTAACAAGTGAAGCCAAAACTCTAACTTTCATTGGGAAAAAGTTTTTTTCTGCTTGCAATTTCTGCACACAAGTTTTATATCATAGATTGAATAATATGGAAATTTAAGATGAAAGTGCTCCCGATTCACACAGGTTCTTTGGGAGGAAATAGATGAAGTTTTGGACGAAGACATAGCTTTGGGGAGGAAACTGGAGCATAGATTCTAGTGCAGAGGCAACATGTTTGATTCTGAGCAGGGGACGGGATCCTCATCTAAAGGGTGGTTTACCTCGATGAAGTGATCAAAATGTGAATATGTGATGATGGCGAGGCGTGATGTTTCAACAAGAACACATTCTCACTTCATTTAAGGTATGGAAGGGCTATGTGAATTTGGTAGGGGGATGATTAGGAGTTTGATGTAGTTTTCTAAGATAGATGCTGTACATTATGAAAACTAGTTTTTGAATAAAAATAGTTACACGAAGATAAAGTAAACAAATATTTGAGTCTTACATTTATATAGTTATTTAGAATAGAAGTAAATGTATAGACCTGATGATTATATAAGTAGCGAATAATTTCCTTCTTATGTTGAGGCCCTAAAACCTGATGAAGGGATCCTGTAATATAGAGGGCCATTACCTGCATGCATAGTAATAGTTGTTAGTTAGTTAGAAATATGAATATGAATATGAACATAGCATTAGCAATAAGAGTATGAGTAGGGTGACTGACCAATGGTTGAAGGAAAAACAAAGGTCCAGCAGATTCAGCAGGCCAGTGACCATCATGGGCCTGAATTGAAGAATAGTAACTGATAGCCCTTCTAATAGTAGTAACCAATGCAAACTCTGTTATCTTATCTTCCTCACTCACTCTAACTCCTGCTGGAATCGGACCACATTCATTCTCTTGTCTTAGCTGCATTTATATTGTTACTCAATATTCAGCTACCATTTTTAGAAATCTCTGCGTTTCTTACAAACGGCAACAGTTTTTTTGTTTTTTTTATATACATAACTATAACGAAATTTAACAGCAGTACGTGTATCATCCTTATTCTAAAATAGGAAAGCCACGTTAAGCTAGTTTAGATTCAAAATAAACTTTATCAATGTTCATTATACATTTATTACCCTGATGTTGCAAGAAAGACTAGAATACATAAGTGGTAGCAATCATAAATAGGCAATTGTACAAGTCAAAAAGGATTCTTGTGTTTGTAGTACATATCATCATTTCCCTTTTGTAAATATCATATTCTTAAATGGGATTTATTAACAATTTAATTTAAATTATTGAGTAATTAAATAAGTGGTGGAAGTTGGACGAGTAGTTGGTCTCTCATGTCAGAATCTGAATTGGTGCCAAAAATTTCTGTGACAATTTTTTTTGCATAAATTGAAAAGGGGAAAAAACTTAATTAGCAATTTGAGAATTTTTTTACTCTGCTGCCACACCGCCGTGACGACCACCGCTATGGAAGAGTTATGTCTATGTCTTTGCTCCTTTTCTTTCTCTCTGATTCATTAATTTGGAGTTGCAATACTTTGCAATTTTTGACAGCATTTTTCCAAAAACTGCTATCCAATTTTCCTAGCAAAAATCTTTTCACAGTTTGTCTTTTCAAATCTTTGACAGGAACAGTTTTCAAATGAAGATTTGTATGAATTATCGAGAAAGCCCGATGGAGGAACAAGAAAGGCGAAGAGACACCAACCACGGTGACTTATTTGAATGGAGTAACTATTGTTTCACATACGAGAGTGAAGGAATCTGAAGGACTTTTTTTTTCTTTTACACTTTTTTTTAGTTGAATTTTAAATTACCACTTGTTATACATCAAAACAAACAACTTGAAAACTGGACAAATGAAGTACTGGAGCAGATCCAGATTCTGGTTGGACGTGTCATTAAATTGGGATGCAGTATGAAAGAGTATTGCGAAGAAGCAAAACAATAATGTTTAGAAATTGGACTCTTGAATAATGAGCAGCCAGCCACTTTATTGGTTATTTTAAAAGATTTAGAATTTACAAATTTTCTGAACCCAAATTAAATTCAATTTTTGAGATGGGAACAACCACATTCTTTAAAGATATTGAGTTTGGGGGGAAGAATAAGGTTATGGACTTTGTCTCAGAGGAAGAATAGATAACAATTTCAGAACCTATTCATATAGTTGCTTTTGATCAAGCAAGTACGGTATCTGCACAAGACATTGTTGCAATTCCTCAAACTCAAGATGATTTGGTAATTTATGAAGAACAGACTTAAAATCCTCAAGAACAAGTGTTACAATAACCAATACCTTTGCGGAGATCCACTAGAGAAAGGAGAAATACTATTCAGGATAATTACATAGTCTTTCTCCAAGAACATGAGGAAAATAATGGTTTGCTAGAAGATGATTCAATCAACTTCCGTCAAGTCATGCAGGATTCCAACTTGAAAAAGTGGATTGAAGTAATGAAGGAGGAGTATAAGTCCAGGCAAGACAATGAAGTTTGAGAATTTCTCCCATTATTAGAAGATGTGAAACCCGTTGGTTGCAAATGAATTTTTAAGACTAAAATGAATTCTAACGGTAATATGGAGAGGTATAAGGCTCGTCTTGTGGCTAAGAGCTATACTCAAAAGGAAGGGATTGACTTTAAAGAGATTTTCTCTCTAGTTTCATCGAAAGACTCTTTTAAGACAATCATGACTCTTGTTGCACATTATGATTTGGAACTCCATCAAATGGATGTCAAGACAACTTTCCTCAATGGCAACGTTGATGAAACAATTTATATGATGCAACCAGGAGACTTTGTGTCAGGAGACTCAAAGAATATGGTTTGCAAATTGACAACATCCATTTATGGACTAAAGCATGCGTCTTGTCAGTGGTATCACAAGTTTCACGAAGTAATTCTCTCATTTGGTTTTGAGGTGAATGTTGTTGAAGATTCTGTGTATCACAAATTCAGTGGGAGCAAATACATTTTCTTGGTCTTGTATGTAGATGACACACTGCTTGCCAAAAATGATATAGGAATGATCACAAAACTAAGAAATTTCTATCAAAATTTTTTGAAATGAAAGATCTTTGGTGATGTCTCCTTTGTATTAGGAATTCAGATACATCGAGTCAGATCTCGTGGTATTCTAGGATTATCACAAATGAGCTATATTGAAAAGGTACTTAAAAGGTTTGACATGCAGGAATGTAAATCAGGAGATACTCAAATTGTTAAGGGAGACAAATTCAGTCTCAGTCAGTGCCCAAAAGGAAACTTATAAATTCAAGAAATGCAAAAGATTCTTTATGCGTTAACAGTAGGGAGTCTGATGTATGCCCAAGTGTGCACACGTCCGGATATTGCGTTCGTAGTTGGGATGTTAGGAAGATATTTGAGCAATTCAGAAATGGTCATTGGAAAGCAGCCAAAAATGTTATGACGTATTTAAAGAGAGCAAAAGACTATATGCTCACATATAGGAGGTCAGACTAGTTAGAGATCTCTGACTCAGATTTTGCTAGATGCCAAAACAGTAAAAGATCCACTTCAGGCTATATTTACATGTTGGCTGGTGGTACAATTTCTTGGCGCACTGCTAAGCAAACTCTTACGGCTTCATCCACCATGGCAGCAGAGTTTATAGCATGTTATGAGGCATCCAACCATGAGATTCAGTTGAGGAATCTAGTCATTGGGCTGCGAATTGTGCGAAGAATTGAAAGAGCACTTAAGTTATATTGTGACAACAAATAAATCATCCTATATTCCAACAATAATAGGAGCTCGACTAAGTCAAAACATATTGACATCAAGTTCCTAGTTATTAAGGAAAGGGTACAAAGTGGACAAATTTCCATAGAACACTTGGGGACAAACTCCATGATAGCAGATCCTCTTACAAAAGGTCTTCCACCCAAGGTCTTTCATGAGCACACTGCTCGCATGAGTGTTTTATCGTTAGAGGAGTCTTTGGTTTATTGGGAGTTAGTCGATTATGAATTTTATGTTTTGTGTTCGGTATTATGTATGCATACTATAATTTTAGATATTTTCCAATTAATAAAGTTTGATATTCAGTATTTTACATTTTGTACAATAAAGTTATTGAATGATCTCACTACAGTAAAGTAGGACCGGTTGAAAATCGACATGTAAAGACCAACTTCATGTGATTTTCATGCTACGCATTTCATGGTGGATCTATGTCATTTAATTGTGTCCCTATCGGTGATCATTGCTGAGTGTAGTTATGATTGATATAATGAAAATCACCTTGATTCTGTATATTGGCATGACTAATGGTCGGGATACTTTAGATATGCTTAAAGAATATAATGACAAATTTTGATCTCATAAAGTCTAACACTTATGTAAAGTTACATATGTGACCAGTGAGAGATTGTTAGAATTTTGGGTCACAAATGTAACATTTAAGGTGTTAGTGTCATTATTTTAATTAGTAAAGACTGAAAGGGGTCTAATTAATATAATATTAAGTTTGTGCTAAAAGGATAAATGTCATGAAAGGTCAGGTTATTGTGTAGATACCGTAAGTCAATACCTAATTTCATGAGGGGTCAAATTAGAATATTGAAAATTAAGAAATAACCTTAGGGTTATTTAAATGGGTTATGGTCCCCATTTGTAGAGTACGAACAAAATAAGGTTTATGATGTTTTTTCTCTTCATCCCTATCAGAGTAAATTCAAAGAACCCTAAAGAACTCTACAAATTGGAAGATCGCATACTCGGAACCTTCAACGATTTCAATGGAAAATTCAAGTACGTTTCCGCCTTCATTCTCATAATTGTATTCAAATCTGTGTTTAAGGGATACATGTTGCTATATCAACTTACAGGAATTATTTTAGAGTTTTGTTCTTGATTTTTATATAGGTAGAAATCATAAGGTTTTAAACGGAACTAACACCTAACCTTTTAGGTATCTGGGAATATCTTTGACTAGCAGAAAACTAGCCATTAAACACTACATGATTTTGATTGACAAGATTGTGAAGGACAATAACACATTGGAGTGCCAAACTTTTGAGCTATGTAGGAAGAGTATAGCTTATCCAAAGTGCCACTTTAGTCATAACCAATTTCTGGATGTAGTGTCTACCAATTCCAAAGAAGATCATTCATATGATTAATACTATTTGCATAAGCTCTTTGTTGACTGGTGGGAAGAGGCAGAGTCGTCTCAGTTTGACTGGTGGGACGAGGCAGAGTCGTCTCAATCTTTTGAGAGGTTCCGTGTAAGAAGCTCAAGTTAGCTTTAGTTAAGACATGAAATTAAGAGATTCTATTTAATTGTAAATTAAGGGTGAAATATTTTTATAGAGACCCTTTTTTCTATAGCTTGATCATGAAAAAAAGTCATAGATAGACGGTGAAAGAGTTTCTCATGGTGTGTGTTTCTTTAGTTAGTTGTTTGTGGGATGCTTTTGGTTTTTAGAAATTTTAGGGTTGGATTCTTTAGCAATTACATTGTATATATGGATTTTTTTGAATTAATCAAAGTTTAATAATAAGGGTCTTGCTAACCCGTGCCCTCAGGGCACTATTTAAACATTCCATATTAAGAAATTATTCTTTAAAAAATTCAAACACTTCAATTTCCAATGCACATTATTACACTTTATTGCACATACTTTTATAAAAACTTACTATTTAAAGTTTTAAAAAGTGCCCTGAGGGCACTGGTTAGCATTTCTCTAATAAATAATAATAATAATAATAATAATAATAATAATAATAATAATAATAATAATAATAATTTGAGTGTATTTTGCTAACTAATCCCTCTGATTTTGACTTGATTTTTATTTTAAAAATTTAATTTTAATTACATCAAATAATTAATATATTTAAGTTATAGATGAACAAGATACATTTTTTAATTAATATTTCCAAAATAATTTTTTCTTATACAATATTTAAAAGTACAAAATAAAAATAAAAATAAAAATGTTGTATCAAAAGGTCAATATTAACTTGAATAGTTGTATTTTGTAAGTCCAAGTGATTCAATTTCAAAGATCAAAGGGGATTCAATATCGCAAAGTCAACTTTTTTAAATAAATATCAAAACTAATCTTACATATTTTTAAAATTAATCCATTTTTAAATAAAAAATTCAACAAAAGAAGATGTCAATTAAATTAAGGACATACTACCCACTTAAGATGAGATGTCAATTCAATTGACATTGTATAAACACATTAAATTTTGGATTGACGTCTTCTCTTATATATTATACACTGTTGTCAATCAGATTGACCCTTCTTTATATTAATTTTGTTTTAAAAAAAAATTAGTTTAAAAAAATAAGTTAATTTGAATATTTATTTAAAAAGTGAATTATTTAGATAAAAATTTAAGTAATTTATGAATTTTTTTCACACAAGTAATTTATGTGGTGGACCCATGTTGACAGTTTTAATTTATTAACCTGCCAACTTTGTTATTTCCCAGCTTCAATTACTTTTAAAATATTCAGCTTTCAACTACCGACCAGAACTATCACTAAGCCATTTGAATATTAGTGTCCTTATAATGACAAGGTAATTAAAACCGTTCATAATATTTTTCCCCTCATCTCTTCCTTAATATTTTTATTATATTTTTTCTACCTTTAATTATAATAATAATAATAATAATAATAATAATAATAATAATAATAATTATTATTATTATTATTATTATTATTATAAACAGTATTGCTCTTTTAAGTAATTTCCAATTATAAATATTAAAATTATAAATATCAAAAAATTTATAGAAGTTACAAAATTTATGTGATTATTTAAAAAAAATTTAACTATATGATTTGGCAATATTTTTTTTTTTTTGGTTTTAATAAATTTTTAGTGGTTTAATTAAACAAAATAATTAAAATAAAATATTACACAAAAAATTGATATATATTAACTTTAATATTATATTTATTAATTTAATTATTACTACTCTATATGATAATTGATAGACTAACTAATAGTATTACTACTTTATATGGTAATTGATGTGTATAGTAAACTAACATTTGATAAATATAAATTATATAAAAAATATTTTTTAATTAATAATTTAAAAGTTCTATTATCTTTTATATATTATTGTTGAATTAATTTATATCACATGGAAAATATTTTAATATATAAAATTGAATATAATATTAAAATTTTGGTGACAAAGAAAAAAAATAAGAGTAAGCAGCAATATGAGTAAGGATAAAATTGACAGAGAAAGAGAATAACAAAAGATATTGTTGAAAATCAGTTGATTTAGGTTGAAATCGAGCTAAAAAATATATTCTTGCAAATCGAAGTTTCACTCTTAAGGTTTAATTTCAAATGATAAAAGTTTGATTTTTTTATTAGATTTGGTTAAATCGATTTGACACGTAAATCAGAAAGGTTTAATCAATTTGATATTTATTAAACTAAATTCATAAAAATAACTATTTTTATAAATTTCATAAACATTAATTTTCTTTTTTTGAAAAGTATCAAAATTTTAGAAAGAATAACTATTTTTTTTATTATTGAAAAAAATTATTATTTCTTATTATTTCTAAAATTTTATATTCACAAGTATACAATACATATAATATAGAACTTTAAGTGTTATTTAATTTGTGATTTAAAATATGATAATAGTATTTTTAATATAATTTAATGATAATTTTGTTATTATTATATTTTAAATAAAAAATTAAATAACACTCAAAATTTTATATTGTATGTTTAAATTCTTGTGAATATACAATTATATCATTAAATTATAAAAATAATAATAATTTGACAATATTATAAATCTCATTTTTATAAATAAATCTGTCTTATAGTAATAAAAATAAATAAAATAAATATTAATTAAATTTGATCGAATTGGTTACAAACAAGTTCAAAAATCATTCAAACACAATAGAAGCAACTATATACTATCTAAATATAGGATCAACCTAACACTTAATCCGAATCTGATTCGTTTGTATAAAAAAGATAATGAATCAGTCGATTTCAATAGAGCAGTTCAAATTTGTCTATCCCTAACAAAAGACACGATGAAAACAATTATAAAAAAATAGACAAAGATTATAGTAAAATTCATGATTTTTTTAAAATACAAAATTTAAAATTTGTAAGCATATATTTAAAACATATTTATTTTATTTTAAATTATAGTAAACTATAAACAATAAAAATAAAATTTAATTAAAATTACAAAAAAAATATAAGATAAAAGTTCTAAGATCAAAAACTATAAATAAAAATTTTAAAAATATTAAAACTAAGAAAAGAAAAATCCAAATTCCTACTAAAGAAAGTTACTGATCACAATTTTTTATTAATATAGACAAGTTAAAAATAAAAAATAAAACACTTTTAATTTTACCAAACATACCTTTAAGATATTTATATACATTTTTTTAAGTGTGATTTTTATTATTTTTCAATAAAAATGTGATAAATGTATAATTTCCTCTCATTAAAAAATAGTAAAAACTACCCCTGTGAAATTACAAATTTTTAAAATAAATTAGTAATTTTTAAAATTTATTTAGTCCAATTACAAATTTGATGTTATGTTCATTTAGAATGACGTGTGAACCTTCATTTATTATTGTAATTAAGGAGCTCTTTGTAAATGGTGTGAAAACTGACCTGGAAATTCAAACTGACATGGAAATTCAATATCCAAGACACAATTTACTACTACTTTTTGGACAATGATTTCATCATCACTATAACTACAAGACGCAATTCACCTAACTCAGTCGGTGCTATATATTATTAATATTTTAATTTTTACTAGTTTTTAAAAAAAATATCAATGCCTAATGATTTTATTTTTTTAATATATTTCTTAAATAAATTAATATTCTATAATAATTAATTTTAAATTTTAATCGATATGTTTTGTCACTGTAAAAATTATGCCGTTGATAGATAATGATATTTAATATTAGATACAAATGAAAATAGTTAAAGTTCTAGGTTGATTTTGACATCTATATATAAAAGAAAAATTTAAATTTAGTGTAGTCTATTTTTATTTTAAATATATTTTTATGTTTTTTATTTTAAAATTTAATTTTTATTTTATTAATTTTTTTTTAACTAATTGTTATAGGGTAGTTTACACAACTATTTCATTTAATTTTTTTATATAAAATTTAAATTAAAAAAAAATCACAAAAAAAATATGTTCATATTTTTAAATGTCTGAACATTAAAAAAAGACAGACCAACCTAAAAAATTTTATATAGACGTTAGTATTTATAAAAGAAATAATTCATTTATCTAACATTTTAAAATTTTAGATTCAAATATGGTGTCTGTCGTATTCGTAAAAACTCCTCAACACTTAAAAATGTGATTAAAATAAAAATTAAATATTTATAAATGTTTAAAAGGTTATAATTAATTGATAAGATAATTTCTTGTTTACAATATATATTAACTAATGCTTAATTTAAATCAAAAATATTATAAATGAAATATTTACAATGAAGCCAAAGGAGAATAAACAAAAATAAAATTACACGTTAAACAAGTGGAATTTTCCTTCATCTTCCTTTTCGATGTATTTGAGTTGAGTACTCTCTTTTATCTTCGACATTTTGTTTATAAAAGAAACAGCCATAGCTATATAGTTTCCCATTTTAATTATTTCATAAACCATCTCTTTATTTCAATATTCCAAGCAAATAACTTACCATAATTATACAACAATGTTTACGTATTTTAAGTTACTATATTATTCCTTTAATTCAAGTTCTGTTTTTTTATGAATAAAAGAAAAGAAAGTATAAAGCAGTAGTATTCTTGAGCAATATGAACAAGTAGACTTACCTGCATTCTCATGAGAAGATCAGCACTTTGTTTGATGGAAAATCGATTTTTTGTGAACTGATTGCGTAGTTTCTCAATCTCATGGTGCTCTTGCGGTGTTCCTGCAGTTGGGTCAAATTCCCAGTGCTGACGTCCAATGAAGTTATTCACTGAAACCAACTTTTGTCCTCCTTCTGCTATCTTCAACTTCCACATGATCTTTTTTCTTTTCTACAACACAGCAGACACCTTTATTAGCTTCTGCCAGTTGCTGCTATGGCTCAAGAGTTGTAATAACTTGTACATATATTTATATATCTATTCACTCACACACATGTGAATCAGTGACCCAAAAACGATTGCATGAAGTAATAATAACAACGCCACCAAACAGTACTACTACTTCTACTAGTATTTTTTAATATGCCATATTACTAGTATACTACTACACGCTTCCTTAGTAATCATTTATAAGAAGAACAAAAAGTTATTTTTCTTATTAAAAATTATAAATAAAACATATCAAGTTTATTTTAAAAAATTTATTTTGCAAGGTGAAATTAAATATAGGGTTAATACACATTTTAGCTTCTCTTATTTGAAACGAATTCGAAAAAAGATCAGTACAGATTCCGTCCATATGTAACGTGTCTGCTCTATTAGATTTTTATATTCTTTATCTTTCCATTTTAATTACACATATGATTTTTTTTATTATTATTATTTTATTGTTTGCACGTTGAAATGTTAAAATAGCAAAATAAATTTGTCTTCTATAAATACCGAATTAATTACTTTTATTGATTATTTATTTGCTTCAATATATATATTACAACATATCAATATATTTATTCATAAATGCATAAATAGCTTATGTTAATATTTTATTTATTTATTTTATTATATATATATATATATATATATATATATATATATATATATATATATATATATATATATATATATATATATATATATATATATATATATATATATATATATATATATATATATATATATATATATTTTGTTTTGGATTGGGCGAGACCTATCCCACAGTCGGGCAAACCCAACCCGATACTATGTGGGAAGGTCTAACGAAACACAATCCTCCCCAGGTCGGGCACACTTGACTCTACCGTCGGGGAGACCACTACTTAGCACGGAGAGAGCTTACACGTGTTCCCCACGCGGGGACATGTCATCAGACAACTACCCACTTTCGAAAGAGTCGATCAACTCACCTTCCGAAGATCACAGGGTCGTTGATCCAGGGCGAAGACCACATGCTGGTCTTTCCTACGCCATCTAAGCCCTGTCAGTTACTCTATTGGACCTTGTAATCCAGCCCAATGCCAAGTAATCGTTGGCCCTGCGCTGGGGCACATTATAAATATCCTCTTTCACTAGAGGGTCAGATATTCATTCTCTACACCTATTTTCTTTGTACTCGCGCTTTCTAACTCCGTTACTCACTTAAGCATCGGAGTACCTTGCAGGCACACCCCATCCTCCTCCACAATATCAGTGATCACAGGAGTTCACGACACGTGGTAGACTACTGATTCCTTTTTGATCAGGTAAAATTTGTGGCGCCGTTTGTGGGAAAACTTTGCTCCCCGTTCTTTCTCCTATACAGGCGTAGAAGCTCAATAACCAAAGTAACATCCAACTTCCGTTCGATCATGGTCAGCCCATGCAACGACAATGCTATGAAAACCACATTCGTCCCCTTCACCAACGGTGACAGACACGATCCCAATGTGACTGTTCGCGTCGAGGAGGGCGACTCAAGGGAAGGGCATGCCACCCCTCCCTCCTTAGAAGATGCAGCCTTCAACGCCATCCACCGCTTGATAGCCCGACTATCTACCAACCGATCCTGGTGCCACCCAGTGCCGACCCCACCATGGTGATCCTGTTCGCTGCGATCAACCAGACCAACCTAATGATATCCAGCTGAATGAGCGCATAGGGATGCTCGAGAAGAAGCGACAATCACACTCTCCCCCGCAGAGACATCATCGTCCCATCTCTAGCAGCCCCTCTCCTCCCCCGCGGAGGATGTGACACGACGACTCTCGGAGCCCTTCTCCCCGACCTATTGGACGTCACCCTCGCTTGGAGCGGCCTTAACTAGTGGCCTCCCAAAAGAGTGACTGCTCACCTCCCCGGGAGGAGCGACGCTCCCCCGTGCAGAAAAGGAACAAAGTTGAATGAGGCACCAAGAAGCCAAAGAGCCGCCTGAGGAGTCCTCCCCGAAGAAACAGAAACAATATCAGTGACCTTTCCCCTTCTCGGTCACCTGTCAGAAGCTATGAGGACGACCAGTGCTCACCGCTATCCAGGGCCATCAGGGAGACTCCATTTCCCGCCGAGATGGAAAAGCCCCCGCCCTTGGCGACATACGATGGCACGACCGACCCAGACGATCACATAGAAAACATCAATGCGATGCTCGACTATTAGAATGTACGAGGAGCCATCAAGTGCAGGCTTTTTCCTAATACCCTGAGGAAGAGTGCCATGACGTGGTACAAGCGCCTCACGCCTGAGTCCATCACCTCCTAGGGCAAACTGAATAGGCAGTTCTCCAGACACTTCATAACTTCCCGGTGCCATTCAAAAGACAGAGGCAGCCCTAGAAGCCATCATCCAAGGAAGGAACGAACCTCTCCGGGATTACATAGAGAGGTTCAACCCAAAAGTTGTCCAGGTAGCCACCTCATAAGGCATGAAAAAATTCCTGATCGAGCAAGGAATGCGTCCTCGCAACGAATTCGCCAAGGCCGTCGGGATCGAACGGCCCCGCACCTTGAACGCTCTCCTCCTCAAAGCTCAATCATACATCCAGTATAAGGAAAGATAGGCCGACCACGACGCTCGTGACACACAGGTTCGAGAAGGCATCAGGGGCGCCAGGCACGAGGATGCCGCTGCTCCTCGAAGAGGCGGAGAAAGAAGAAGAGAAGACCGGCCCCGAGAACAGAGAGGGCCAGCAGGTCGGTTCACCGAGTACACGCTACTCACAGCTCTCCGCAAGCTCATCCTGGCCGAATGTATTAACTCTGAGTTTCAGAGAGGTGGTGCCCGTTTTCCAAAACCGACGCCCCCGAAGCCCAACGTCGACAAATCCAAATACTACTGATTCCACCGGAGTCATGAACACGTTACGGAAGATTGCATCCACCTCAATGATGCAATCGAGATCCTAATCAAGGAGGAGAATTTGAAACAGTAGACTCGAAGAAACGAGGCTCCTCGATAGGAGACCCACGAAGCCAAAAGGGCCGATGAGGTATCGCCTCCCTCTAGAGAAGCCAGACTGCAGGTCGCCCTGTGTATCGCCCGACCAGAGGATTTTCTCCTTCTCAATGAGCCCTCCACAACGTTGTCCAGCCGCAGTGCATGAGAAGACTTACCTGTCGCATTAGTCATATCCGGTGGGGGCCCTAACAAGCTCTCAGTCGGATCGATCAAGAGAAATTTCGAGGAGCTGATCGACAAAAGCTCGAAGATGAACACTACCCTCGACAAGTTCAAAAGTAAATCAAACCCGATTACCTTCTACCTCGAGGAGCTCCCCTGGGGCGCGTCCAACTCCAGCATCCCCCTCTTGATCAGGGCACAAATGGAAAACTTCGACGTGTGTCAAATCCTAGTCGACTAAGGTAGTTCGGTGGATATAATGTATGCCCATCTGTTTACGACCCTCCAACTCGACGAGAGCCACCTGACCCCGTATGTCGGCTCCGACCTACAGGGCTTCAACGACACCACCACTAAGCCTTGGGGATACGTGGAGCTGCTCGTCAAATTTAGGGCCGAGGAGACCACAAGGCAAGTAAAGGTCCACTTCTTGGTGATCGAGTGCCCTTCTCTGTACCAGTGCATCTTGGGAAGGCCGAATTTAGCTGAACTAGTTGCAGTATGATCACGACTTTCTATGTCTAATACAACCTAACTGCAAGTGCACAGTCTATCGCGTAATAATAATAGATATCGATCCCACAGAGACTCGTAATCAAACTAGTGTTCTCGGGAGTTACTATGTTTAGCTAGGTAGAATATGTTTAAGGGAATAAGATTGTCACTAAAAGGGAACTAAGAATGCTACTTAGATTATAAATGATTGAATCGATACGTAGTAATTGTGTTCTTCAGGGATTTGATAAGTTACTGGTGTATGAAATAATTTTCAAAGTTTATTTAAGCAGAAAATGGTGATTTGAAGACTCTCGCCTCACGATGGTTATTGACGTTAATCATAATCCTAAGGGCCAAACGTACACTTTCGTATCCCGTTCGGGGTTAAAATTATTTTTTGGAAATCTCTAAGCTCTAATTCATTTTAAAGTGCTTTCGCTGTTATTAAAATGAATGACTAGTGTTTACTATCTGACCTTACCGCAGCTTTCGCTTGTTGGTTCGTATCTTAATTAATTTCCCACTTTCGTGGCAAAACTACTTTTAAATAAGTTCTCGCTTTCACGACAAAGTTTATTCAGTAAATCAATTTTAAACACTCAGACCATAAGTTACTTTTGAAAAGAAAGTTTTTCAACCAGTTGTTATCAAATCCCATTCGAATTATTACCACATATCGATTACTTAAGTTTAGCTAGACATGGATTTGGGAAAGATAAAACATAAATAAAAATAATAAATAATGATTTGCATTATAATAAAACTGGAATCGATTGAAATGAGAAACCTGTAAATATTCCAATTGGCCTTTGGGCAGATCCTCCACAGATGTTGGCAGGATTCTGATCTCTATGCCAATTTGATCGTACAATGAAAGTAGAAATTACAGAAGAATGAAAAATGGAATACAGGAAAGGTAAAGAGAAACAAATAAGAATATTGCTGGAAAATATGCTCTGGAAATAAATTTGACAGCACTTCGTTGTATGAATGCAGCACACTTTCTGAAGTCCCCTGCTTCCCTTTTTATAGAAGTGGAATCCCAACGGTTATCATTGAAGATGATGGACTTTGAGGCAGATAATTTAGGGAGTAGTGGTCCACTCTGTGGGAATTGGAACTGATTCTTTAACGTGTAATTGAAGTGGGGCGTTTTTGCCTGCATGACGGTCGTCACAAGGTGTGACGGTCGTCACCCATGTGACGGTCGTCATGAAGCTGTGACGATCGTCACATCAGCAAAAACAGCTTCCTGCGCTTTTCATTGTGTTTTCACTCCTTTTTCGTCC